CCACAGACTATTAATCATAGGTTTTCTACATTCTTTGTATGATCATTCCAATATCCCTGCCATATCCGAATCTGGTTTTGAGGCTTGTTTTGTCTCTTCAAACTGCGTTTTTTGCCTTTGAGTATGTCTTATTATTTTTCTGTTGTTGTTGAAAGTTGGACGTGATGTGCTGGGTAAAAGGAACCCGTACTGGTTGCCACAGAGGTTTCCGCTCAGGTTAAGTTGTGACTCTTTGTATCTGCTTGCCTCTCCAATTTTGGTGGCAGCAGTTTACCCTGTGACCTCAATTCTCTGACAGATCTAAGAACTGATTTTCTTTCTGTGCAGCTTTTTACTTGTTAAGACAGAGGGACAACTTCCAAGCTCCTTATATGCCAGACTTGAAGTCCTATACCTGTTTTTAAAATGCCAAACAATACAGAAATGTACGAAGCAGAAAAGTCACAGTTCCCCAACAAATATAACTGCCTAATAACTTGGCATATATTCTTTAGAATCTTCTTCTAAGCACGTGTAGTTTTACAAATGATACTTTCTACAAAAATAGGATTCTGTACAGACTATCCCTGAATACTGTGGACACCTTTAGTATGGACATGGGTGTAATAGTCGCTTTTACTGCTACCTATCACTTCTTCATTTGGCTTTGCCTAAATTTAATCAATCCACACTAAAAGGTATTAGTTATTTCCAAACACACATTTTTAAATAAACAACATCACACTGAATATCCTTTTACATATAACTGTCCATTTGGGCACTCCCATAGGATAAATTCCTACATGTGGCACTGCTGGGTGAACGGTTTTATACACCTGGCACGGGTGTTCAATCTGCATTCCCAAAACAGTGTTTAGAGATCGTATTTCTCCATACTATCCCCGCCCCAGCTACTTTTAAGTCTTTGCCAATCTGAAAACCAACAAGGAATATCGTACTGTGGTTTGTATTTTTTGGATTACCAGCAAGACTGAATATTTTTCATGTTATTGGCCACTTGATTTCTTCTTTAAGAATTGCACAATTTTCACTAGATTACATGGGGATGATTTTTTTTTTAAATGGAAAGTAGAGAATAATAAACTTAAACTATGGAAATCCTCAATCCTAGGTATTACTGTCAAAGTTATATGGCCCACAAGGAACATTCTACTTCACTTCACATTCACCTGGCGAACACATCATTTGCTTAGAATCTAATTCTACAAGGCTTGTGTCATTTGGAGGGAGTAAGCTGGTAAGTATGTGCCTCCGTGTACTTGTTGATGAGCAGCGTCAGCACTATTCAGGCGTGACAATGATATGCAGACCATTATACCCAGATCTCAGCATAGCAACCAAAGAGGGAGCTGGAGAGCTTGGAAGGGGTTCAAAGGAGAGCCACGGAGTTGATTAAAGGGCTTGAAAAATGAGAACTGGGAGGGAAGCTTAAGAGAACTGTGATTATTCAGGCCTGAAAACAATTGAAGGCTGAAGGGTGAATTAATAATGGAATTCCAATAAATACAACTCTTACATGGTAGATGGTAATTGGCTATTTTCTAAATGTGCTGAGAACAGATGAAGAGAATTTGTACTTTAGCATCAGAAATTTCGTTATATGTAAAGAACATTCTCCTGAGAGTAAATCAAATTCTCTCAGGGCCAAAGGCTCTTGCCTAACAGTCTATAGTTAATATAAGTACTCTTTCAGGTCAGCAGGTTCTATTTAATGCATTATTATTACAAAGAAGGACTACTGGGTATAACAGGGAATAGAATGGCGGTGAAGAAAAATAGAGCGCTCGAGAGTGAAGTCGTGTTTGCTCCCAAAAAGGAAGAGAGGAGAAAAAGGAAGGAATGGGAGGACACAAGGAGGGAAAAAGCAAAGAAAAAGAGTGAGCCACGCTAAAAACATGTTTCTTCCTTTTTACTGTTTGCACAGCGGATCCACTTAGATATTCGAGTTGGAGAACATGACCTTGATGCAGCCATTGCTCAAGCAAAGGACAAAGTTAATGAAGTTAGCTTCAAGCTTGAACATCTAATTGAGCAAATGGAGCAAATAGTCAAAGAACAAAACTATCAAAGGGTCCGTTTGCCTATTCAGCTTATGCTCCCTCTTCCTGACCAGTACGTAATTCTCCACAAAGCCCCCGAACCAAGGAAAGAGTAAACTGCCTTTTCCCCGGGCTTTCTCTGAGCTAGGCCTGCATGGACATGCAGGGGATGGGGGGACAGTGCTCTTTCACTGTTCGCTGGACCGTGAGCTCCTCTAGGAAGGGGACTGTGGCTCACTCGCCTCTGGGGTGTGAGCTTACAGAATGAATAAATAAGCGTTTCCAAACACACCCCACATAGCCGCAGAGTCTCAGTGTGCCCACTTTCTAAATCACTATTTTGTTCTTGTGACATTATGTGTTTCCTGGGTCACTGTGCTCAGTGGACCCTGGTCAGACGTGGACTCAAACCTGCCCCCCCACTCACTAACCTTCTGTCGTCTCTAAGCTTCTGGTTCTTTATCTGGAAAATAAAATGAGCACAGCGCCCAGCTTAAAGTAAAGTAAGAACCTGAATGATGAACATCTGTCAATTAGGTAATGTTCACTTTGTTTGATGGTAACAAATAAAACATATAAAGTAATAGATCAAATACCTGATATTTTACACTAAAACACAAAAGTGTGCTTTATAAGGTTGACTCCTCTCCCTTGTCTTTGACTAACGACACCCCTTGGCTTAGAAAGTGATACTGTACTTTGGCCTAAGAGATTACCTAGGTGACATTAAGCACCTTGAATGCATACAGCACCTTCCCCTCAAATTCATGCAAGAAGTACCTTAAGAGACTTAACCTGCCTATTTCTCTTCTGCGTAGGACCGTGAGGAAGAATTTCGAATGACCAGTGAAGATACAAACAGCAACGTTTTGTGGTGGGCCTTTGCACAAACACTAATCTTTATCTCAGTTGGAACTTTCCAAATAAAGTACCTGAAAGATTTCTTCATAGCTAAGAAACTTGTTTAAAAATATTAATAAAGGCAAATAACTACCTTTTACCTTGCATGTTTGAGTGAATATCAAAATATATTCATAAGTGTGCATAACTTTTCTGATTTCAAAGACATCAGAGGTTGGAATTGATGTTATATCATTGTAACACTGATAAAATGTCACTTTAACAATGTGGCTTCTGAGTTTGATAAAATAAATACATGATCCAGTTCTTATTTTAAAATTGGTATAGGTCAGCACCGTCCAACGGAAATAAATGTGAGCTATATAGGTAAATTTTAAGTTTTCTGGTTGCCACAGTAAAAAAGTCTTTTTTTAAAGAGTAAAATTAACCCTAGTGACCTATATTTAACCCAATAGATCAAATATATTACCATATTAACATATAATCAATACATAATTATTAATGAGGTAGTCTACATTCCTTTCTTGATAGGAAGTCTTAGAAACACAGGTGTATTTTGCAATCAAAGCACATCTCAATTTGGACCAGTCACATTTCAAAGGCCAATGGCCACACAAGGTTCATGGCTACAGCACGGGACAGAGGGAGTACCTCGTTTCCCCACGGCGTTCCACTTAGAGTGGTCCTGAATCTCTGCATTTCTCTATTTCCCTGAAAGATGGCCACTTTTCTCCACACAAGTGAACAGCCCAGAGACTTTCTCTGAACCAAGTTTTCTCAGTGGGTCCCACTCTGATCCACCTCCACAGGCGGATGGAAACTGCTCTTTGGAGAGGATGGGGCATCCCGCGAGGAGTGTAATTCTATGAAAAGCAACTTCCATTTATTTCCTCTAAATTTTAAAATAAGCGTAAGCTCACTAGAAGTTACAAAAAAGAGTACAGAGAGTCCCTTCCACCAACTCCCCTATCCACCGTTTTTTTTTTTTTTTGCGGTACGCGGGCCTCTCACTGCTGTGGCCTCTCCCGTTGCGGAGCACAGGCTCCGGACCCGCAGGCTCAGCGGCCACGGCTCACGGGCCCAGCCACTCTGCGGCATGTGGGATCTTCCCAGACCGGGGCACGAACCCGTGTCCCCTGCATCAGCAGGCGGACTCTCAACCACTGCGCCACCAGGGAAGCCCTATCCACCGTTTTTAAAAGCGAAATAACCTCCCCCAGGTCAAGCCTTTTCACATGTGCGTGTTATAGGCAAGCAACGGCGCCTGGCCCAACCCGGCCCACCTCGAGCATGGGGTCCAGCCAGTGGGCCCTGGGCCCCACTCACACCCCATCCTGATCCTGACCTCCGTCCTGGGATACCAGGTCTCCTAATGCCCCGGCCCCAGAGCTTCCCATCCCCTACCTCCGACGGCCCAGATCCCCTCCTGTCTCCCGGCCCTCATCCTCCGGGGCCCCGAGGACCCTACGCCTCCCACTTCCAGTACGGCGAGCACTGAGGGGCCCTCCCCCTGACCTCCCCCCCACCTGCATAATGGAGGGCACGAGGGGCCACCTGGTCCACCTAGCCGGTCCGCTCAGCTCACCGTGTCTCAAGGTCGATGCACATCCCGCCTCCATGTGATTACTTCCACTCATCCCTCAGGCGTGGGCCTCACCTGACTCTGTCGACTGCTGTCGGTCCGGGAAGTGCAGCGGCCTCCCACCGCTCTGCGCCTGCGCCAGCGTCCCAGCACACCCACCTCGGCGCCGCCCGGGGGCCCACATAGGTCCTGGACTACAACGCGCTGCCCTCAGGAGAATCGCTGGAGATTGCAGCGTTGGAAAGAGGGAGGTCAGGTCCTCGCCTGTATGTTCCTCCTCTCCGACGTCCAGCCAAAACAACCCGCAGAGAGGAAAGTCTAACTCTAACCTCCCTCTCTTCCCGGGTTGGTACCTTCCAACACATGAGTTTTGTCGGGATCAGTGCCGTACTCTGGTGCGCAGGCGCGGAGTCGCAGCCCTCGGGCCACGCCCAGATCCCGCGTCCAGGTCTCGCGTGGATCCCAGGAGGGCTTCGGTTGGGCAGCGGCATTGGCGGCAGCAGAAATCGCTGCGGAGCATGGCCAGCTGGGTGTTCTGTAATCGCTGTTTCCAGCCACCCCAGGGGACTGCGTGCTTCAGCCTGACTAACTGCGGCCACGTGTACTGCGATGTCTGCCTGCGCAAAGGTCAGGGCGGGGTCAGGGCGTTGAGGGCCCTCGGGCCAGGCCCACACCTGGACCCCTGTGCTGGTGGTGGTGGGGCTTCCAGGGGGCGGGGCTTCCGGGGGAGGGCCCCTTGGGGGAGAGAGTCAGTGGGCCTGGGGGGTGGGGAGAGGACCTTCGGAGCAGAGGGCTTTGGGGGAGGGCGGGGCGTGCGGGGGTGGGGGGCACAGGCCTAGAGGCTCCAGTTCGCGACTCTTGGGCGCTTGCCTGTGGGCTGGGGGCGGGCAGGGCCTGTAGGGGCCACAGGGAGGGCGGGCAGCACCCCGGCCGAGTGTCTCAGTCCCGGCACTGGCCCGCCTGCCACTTGGGGTCCGACCTTAGGCTGGTCCCTGTAAGGACAAGCACAGCTGGAGGCGGGGGGCGGGGGGGGAATGCAGAAGTGTCCCCGGCAGAGGGGGCGGGAGGAAGGGGGAGGCCTGAGGCGGGAGAGGACTGCGAGGGAGGCCCCGGCCCCCACTGTGGGCAGCGGGCAGTGACGTGATCGACGTGTACTTTTTTTCTTGTGAAATGTTTTTATTGACGTATAGAGTTTATACAGGAAAAAAACCTAAATGGAAACACAGTGAATTCTCATAAAGTGACCTACCTGTGAAACCAGCTCACAGATTAAGAATCAGAACATCTCACACACACACACCCCAGGCCTCCTCAAGGAAAACCACTGTCCTGACCCGTGTTGGTGTCCATCGCCTTGGACTGTTTAACGCTGGTGAGCGGGTGGCCCAGCAGGCAGCAGGCTCCCCACAGACACACCCGCCCCTGGTGGCCCCTGCCTGGGCCTCTCGCTGCGGGATCCTCGGTGCACACTTGCCCCTGGTGCCCCTTGCCTGCTGCTCGGCACTGGCGCCGTGTCCTGGTGTATTTCCTAGCTCGCAGCTGACCCTCGGGCTCTTCCAGGCTTTGACTGTCACCGGTGGTGCTGCAGGCATGTTCATGCGGGGTCTGGGGGTGAGCACCGTCGCGTGCCCAGGGGTGGGCTGGCTGAGTCTCGGTCTGCGTGGCTGGGGGAAGTGGAACCCGGCGGGCGGCAGGACTTGGGGAAGGAGCGGCGCCCTGCACAGGGGGGAGGTGTCAGGGCAGGACAGCCGCCCGCGGGGCTGGACAGAAGCAGCAGGCGGGTTGGGCAGGCCTGGGTGCAGAAAGGCATCTCGGTTTACAGCGTGTGGAGCTCGCCGGGGTTGGCGGTGGGGTTCCCATGGCCATCCAGGACGCTGCGGGGAGACAGCGGGTTTGGGGTAAGGCCCAGGACCTTACCTTTGGACACGGAGGTTCCAAGGACAGCCGTGCAGGGAGAGACCGAGGGACTGTGAGGACACGCGAGGGTCTGGGAGTCCGGGCAGCTGGAGCACAGCAGGGAGAGGTTAGTGCAGAGGGGAGAGTGGAGATGCTGGGGTGATGGGAGGGCTGGAGGCGGGGTGTGCAGGAGCCCGTTCTCACCTGGGGAAAAGCATTTCCTAAAGAAGGTGGGTGGAGACGCGAGGAGGCTGTGAGGGGAAGAGAGAGCAGAAACGTCAAACCAGGCATCCCAGCGCAGTCAGCCAGCGCGTCGGCATGTGGCCCTGGCCTTAGTGGCTGGGTGACCTGCGTGATGCTGTGGGGATGGTGGGGACAGGCTGGCTTCGGGCTGGGAAGCTCCGGGGAGGGCTAGGGGCGGAGCTTAGTGGGAGGGCGTCTGAGCCAGGACGGGAGCCCTGGGGCTGTGGGAAGGAGAGGAGGTGAGCACAGGGTGGAGGGTTAGGCCCGGCCTGGGGGGCCATCGGCCCAAGACAGAGGAAGGAGGCCGACCGCATCGGCCACCGTGTGGTGCAGGCGGAGAGAGGTGCGCATGACAGGCCTTTTCCTAAGTAGACGACATGGGGGCTTGTCTGAGTACCCCCTGCAGGGAACTGGGGGGGAATGGCCAAGAAAAGCAGAGGGGTGCCCAGCAATGCTGCAGATTCCGAAGTGTTGGAATCCTGCTTCTCAGCCGCGTTGAACTGGGGGGAGAGGGGGGAGGCAGCCTCGGGTTTGGGCTGCTGTGCTGCCTGGAAGGACCCATGGCAGTGGATGTGGACCGGCGGCTGGCCTCCAAGCTGCCTAGTGGAGAAGCCAAGATCAGAGGCTGTGAGGACCAGGCAGGGCCGAACCAGGAGCTGGAAGCGAGGGGGATGGAGTGGGGGGGAGCCCTGGGGGTGCGGGGCCAGCTGGTGGGGGAGGAGCACGTGGAGGCGGGCACCCCACGGGGAGGAGGCTGAGCGAGGGGCGGGGGCGGCCCAGGGGACGTGACACCTCCGTGCTCAGCCACCGGCACTGCCTGGCCTGTCTCAGGAGCTCAGTAAATGCTCCAACGCCAGGCGAGCTGTCCCAGCTGCCACAGGGGTGAGGCGGCGGGGCAGAGCAGAGCACTGTAGCTCCCAGGTGGGTGGGAGGAGCTTTTCATTTTGTAGAGTTTAAAGTTTTAAGTTAAGTTATTCCTATAAAACCTGATTGTAAGAAATATCTGGGACTGATCTAAGTTTGTGTTGTTGATCTTTATGGCCACCATTTTGGAACATATTTGCAAAACAGGAAGAAAAAGATTGTTACTTATGTAAGTCTTTTCAGCTATGTGCACACCCACAGGCTTGTCCACTGCAAGTGCTGTAATCCTGTGTAGTTTTGCAAGAAGGTCTGCATTTATATGTATTTAAAAGCACTACTCACTCTAATAGAGTAAAATTTGCTTTCTATTACAGGTAAAAGGGATGAATGCTTGATTTGTAAAGTTCCATGTCGTACAGTTCTGCTTTCGAAACGTGTAAGTTGAAATCTGTAGTATCTGAAAGTTAATCACAGTGTTTCTTTTTAAATGTGACGTTCAATTTTTAGTCATTTGCGGTGTCTAGAACTTTTGTTTGTTTTGCTACGTGCAGTAGGAGATCTTACAAGCTTTCTGCATAAAGTCCAATAGCGTGGTTCTGAATACCTTGCACAACTTTCTCCTTAGCCAGAGCCTGGCCCCATTAGGAGGTGCCTGTGTTTCTTCAGTACAACACCAGCTCCTCAGGAAGGTGGTGCAGTTTGGTTTTCCTGGGGTCATTTCCAATTAAGAGGGCTGAGGGAAAGTCGGTGAAGTTGATTCCTTCACATTTAAGGTCTAAGATGTGTATTTGATCTGATGTTTAATCTATAAAAATTGCTTTTCTGATTACAAATATAAAATTACACAAAACTCAAACATAACAGAGAATCATAACAGAGAATGTGAAAGTCCCCCAGGTCCTGCTTCCCAAAGATGATGACAGCCAGGAGTGTGGGTCCTTTTCTGGATCCTTCTCTGCGTGTTAGCGTGATTTACCTTTTATAGGGTGTTTCCCAGTTGACACTACATTTTCTAAAATGTACACACCCACATTCTCTAGAAGTGATTGCATGGTATGACAGTATTTTCCTATTGGTAAACCTTTGGGTTTTTTCAGGTTTTTTACTGTTTCAAACAATCTTACAGTGAACATTTTTTTTTTTTACCATAGTTCCGCATACTTTTAAGACTATTTCTAGAGCATAAATTCCTAGAAGTGGGAAAGCGAGGGCTTCCTGTTGGGGTCTCCGTGCGTGTGGAGTGCAATCGCTCCCTCCCACTTCTGTCCCATTTGGGTACTCCATCCGTATTTCCCCTCAGGAAGGCCCTGGGCCCTAACTACCATGAGGTATCACCTCACACTGGTCAGAATGGTCGTTATCAAAAAATCTACAAACAGTAAACTCTGGAGAGGGTGTGGAGAAAAGGGAACCCTCCTACACTGTTGGTGGGAATGTACACTGATACAGCCACTATGGAGAACAGTATGGAGTTTCCTGGAAACACTAAAAATAGAACTACCGTGCGACCCAGTAATCCCACTACTGGGCATATACCCAGAGACAACCATAATTCGAAAAGACATATGTGGCTTCCCTGGTGGCGCAGTGGTTAACAATCCACCTGCCAATGCAGGGGAAACAGGTTCGAACCCTGGTCCAGGAAAATTCCACATGCTGCAGAGTAACTAAGCCCGTGCGCCACAACTACTGAGCCTGCGCTCTAGAACCCACGAGGCCACAACTGCTGAGCCTGCGTGCTACAACTACTGAAGCCCGCACACCTAGAGCCCGTGCTCCGCAACAAGAGAAGCCACCATGATCAGAAGACCGCGCACCGCAACGAAGAGTAGCCCCTGCTCACTGCAACTGGAGAAAAGACCTCACGCGGCAACAAAGACCCAGTGCAGCCAAAAATAAATTAAATAAATTAATTTTTAAAAAAAAGACACATGAACCCCAGTGTTCACAGCAGCACTATTTACAATAGACCGGACATGGAAGCAACCGAAATGTCCATCAACAGAGGAATGGATAAAGAAGATGTGGTACATATATACAATGGAATATTACTCAGCCGCAAAAAGGAATGAAATTGGGTCACTTGTAGAGATGTGGATGGACCTGGAGACAGTCATACAGAATGAAGTAAGTCAGAAAGAGAAAAACAAATTTCGTATGTTAATGCATATATGTGGAATCTAGAAAAATGATATGAATGATCTTATTTGTAAAGCAGAAATAGAGACACAGACGTAGGGAACAAACGTATGGATACCAAGGGGGAAAGGGGTGGGGTGGGAGGAATTGGGAGATTGGGATCGACACATATATACTATTGTTACTATATATAAAATAGCCAAGTGATGGGAACACACTGTATAGCACAGGGAACTCTACCCAATGCACTGTAGTGTCCTAAACGGTGGAGATGTATGTACACATGTGGCTGATTTATCTTGCTGCTCAGTAGAAGCTAACAACATTGTAAAGCAACTAGACTCCAATCGAAATAAATTAAAAAAAAAAGGAAGGCCCTGGGCCCTGACAGGTCAGTGCTGACACCTTCGCCTCCCTCCTGGCCCATGGAGGTCTTTGTGTAGAACCGGGTTCTCTGTGGGCATCAGTCTGGTCTCCACTCACTGGGGCCCCTGCCCCTAGTGTGTAGGCCTCACCCAGGCCCTCAGGGGAAGTGTGGCTTCTGTCCTGTTTCCCTTGGAAGACGGGGCTCGAGACATTGGGTGCTGTCCAGGGTCTCGGGTAAAGGTCAAGCGCGGGGCTCACGTGCACGCGGAGCCCTTGCCACAGGCCCCCTGCCCTCCTGGCGCCCTGCTCAGCCCTCCTCCGGGCCGGCAGTGGATTCTGGAGCCGCTTCCCCTGCAGCCGCCCCTCCGCAGGGTCCTCCAGAAGCTCCTCGGGGGCCCTGGCCCTTCGAGTGCATTTCCTAGTTTTCAGCTCGGATCTCGCTTTCCCTAAGTGCAGTGTTACTGTCATTTCAGCGGAGTGGCTGGGCCTCTACGCTTGGTACAGACGAGGAGGGGCCCAGGCTCCTGGTCTCATTGGCCTGTGTGTGTTCTTGTCCCGGCCCTTCTGTGTCTCTCATGGTGCTGTGGCCGGGTGGTAGGTGGCGGTGGGAGGCAGGTGTATCTGCACGAGGAGTGTACGTGGGCAGGTGCCAGTTTGTAAACCCTACTTTTTCATGTTTGCTTTTTAAATAACTCAACACGGGGCTTCCCTGGTGGCGCAGTGGTTAAGAATCCTCCTGCCAACGCAGGGAACATGGGTTCGAGCCCTGGTGCGGGAAGATCCCATGTGCCACGGAGCAACTAAGCCCATGTGCCACAACTACCGAACCTGCACTCTAGAGCCTGCGAGCCACAACTCCTGAGCCCGTGCGCCACAACGACTGAGCCTATGCTCTAGAGCCTGTGAGCCACAACTACTGAGCCCGCATGCTACAACTACTGAAGCCTGTGCACCTAGAGCCCACGTGACACAGCTACTGAGCCTGTGAACCACAGCTACTGAGCCCGTGTGCCACAACTACCGAGCCTGTGCGCTAGAGCCCGTGAGCCACAACTACTGAGCCTGCGAGCCACAAGTACTGAAGCCCCCACGCCTAGAGACTGTGTGCCACAGCTGCTGAGCCCACGTGCCAAAACTCCCGAGCCTGTGCTCCACAATTAGAGAAAGCCCATGCACAACAACGAAGACCCAACACAGCCAAACATAAATAATAAATTTATTTTTAAAAATTAAATAAATAACACGTACTCGTGAGCAGTTTGAAGTCGTGCCCATTGCTCTTCCCACTTCTGATTTCACTGTTTCCTTTGTACGCGGCTCCCCCAGCCGCCTGGAGCCCCTCAGCACAGCCCTTGGTCCTCGAGGAGGGGCACCGTCCCTCACCCACGCCGTGGAGTACTCGGTGCCCCTTGGACGCAGCCGTGACATCCTTGTGGCTGAGTCTGGGCCCTGAAGCGCTAGAGCCCTGGCCCGTGGAGGCAGTGGTGGTGGAAACAGCCTTTTCTCTTTCAGACGGACTCCGACATCCAGGCGCTCTTCATGGGCATAGATGGCCTGTGCAGGAAGTACGCAAGGGACACCTCCCAGGTGAGTCCTAGCTTTGCCCTCAGCCCTTGGAGACTTGGTGTTGTGGAGACCAGTACATTCTGGACACATGGTCGGCGAATGTCTCCCACCCCCGCTGTGGTGAAGCCGCACTCTCTGTCCCGTGGTCTCTGTGCCTTTGCTGAGTGTCAGGACACAGTGGTCGCTTGGTCAGGACGCCCCACTGAGCCTCACGATGCGAGGGATGGACCTTAGATCTGGGGTTTGGAAGGTGGGGCTGGGGCTGTCTGGACTCCGGGCGGTGGCCCGCTTTGTGACGCTGTCCTCTCCTGGGGGTCACTTGTGCAGCCCTCGCCCACCCTGTGGCCCCTGGGGCATCCGTGCCTGCCCGACCCTCCTCGTCACCGTGTACGTGCCCACGCTTGCCCCGCCCCCCCGTGCCCAGCCTCTAATGCCGCCATCCGTGCCCTCTGCACGTTCCTCCCTGGACGTCACCAGCCAGCCTGTGGTCCCCCCGGCTGTCCTTCTGTCAAAGGCGCAGCCCCCACTGCTGGCTGCCTGCCACCTGCCCTCAGAGGCTGCGTGGAGGAGCGGCCGGGAGCCGCCTGAGGCCGAGGCCCTTCCCTGGGGCAGCGCTGCTCGCCCGACAGTTCTCGCCCTTTGGCCTGCATGTCTGGAGGCCGTGGTCAGCCAGCCTGCCGAGACCATCCCCTCCCCTGGGAGGCTGCTCTCTGGCTCCGACGTGGCCAGAAGCACCAGTGGGGCCATGGCTGTCCCCATCATCCTGGGACTGCTCCAGGGGGACGCAGGGGTGCCCCAAGACTCAGCATCAGCACAAGGTGAGTGCTGGGGTCAGGGGTCGGGGACTGCCCGCATCACCCCTTTTGCAGTGGGACCCTCTTTCCGGCCAGGTCCCTGGGGCCAGAGCTGCCTGTGTTGGGAGGTACACAGGTAGCCCTGCGCCTGGAGGAGTCTCACCAAGGACAGCCCAGCACAGGGCCTGGGGCCGCCCCTCCATCTTAGGCCGCACGCCCCCGGCGTGGAGGGAGGACCGTGGGGGGTGCAGCCCAGCGGCCTTGGGTCTGCCATCTGGTGGTTACGTGCCTGTCTCAAGTGCAGAGCGGCCGCACTACAGAGGACGTTGCAGCTCGCTCTGCGTGCTGGCCTGTTTGGTTTGCTATTACTTTAAATGAATTTAATAAACATCTTAAATTTCTCTCAGGATTAGTTTCTCAGGGTAAACGTTGGCAGGTAAGACCCACGTAACAGCCTCTGTGGGTCCTCGGCGACCTGAGGATGTGTGGCCGGCCTGGGACCAAGGCTGTGAGCACGTGGGCGCGGGCCCTGGGCGTGCCAGTGCGGTGGCAGAACCAGGCCAGTTCCTGCACCGGACTGCCCACTCACCCTCCCGATCTCGTTCTGTCCCTGAAACCTCCTTCCTCTGACGCCTCTCCCCCACCAGCCTCTCCCCTGAGACCAGAGGTGGGCCGCAGGGCAGCGGACTGGGCAGCGCCTCCTGAGCCCTCGGCACGGATGCCCGCGGCCTGTGCCGCTCCCAGGCCCACGACCCCACCCAAGGGCCCTGTGCTCCTCCGGCCCCGGTCCTCCTGCCACCTGCCGGGCACCAGTGCGGAGCGGCCGTGTGGGTCAGCCCCTCCTTGGTTTCTGAGCAGAGCTGGAGCGGCCGCTGTCTGTCGCAGCCTCGCCTGTGTCTCAACTCAGATGAGGACTCGAGCCCTTTTTCATTTTGTTTTGTTGGAACCATCTGACCCCTGCCCAGGCCGCAGTGCTCAGCTTCGGGCGCCCCAGCCAGTGCAGATGGCATGTGGCCACAGGGTCCGGGCTGCCCCCAAGTCCGCGTGAGCCTCGCGCCCTCAGTGGGGCTGCTCTTGCCTGCCGCTCAGGCACCCCACCGGCCGGCCCCTCTCCCAGGGCCAGCTTTGCCCACGGCCCTGCCCCTGCTGCGGCCTCACCTGTCCTGTCGCGTCTGTATCAGCCACAGAGGGCCTGCACGCTTGTCCTCACCAAGATCTTCATTCAGAAATGGCCTGCCAGAGTCGAGATAGCCACTGGCCTGTCCACAGGCCTTGCTGAGCCCCAGTGCCTGCGAGGCGGGGTCCTGTGTGCTAGCTGGAGCATGGCCCGCTCCCAGCGGCTCCAGAACGGCCCGGGGCTGCTCCCAGAGGCGGTGCTGCCTGTTTCTCAGTTTGGGCCCTGCACCAAGACACGAGGTCAGGGGTCAGCGCGGGACATTAGTCTCTCACTGCAGGCGTAGGACACAGGCGTGAGCTGTGGAGACAGGTGACTGTCACTGTGTCTTGCTGAAGGTGACTGGGGAAGGCGGCTTGAGAACTGTCTGTACAAAACCCCTCCCAGCTGTGCACGGCCCTGCCTCAATGCCCTGCACGCTGTGAGGAAAAGGCACCCAGTCATGGGCTGACGGGGGCTTCACCTTGCCCGGAGTGAGGACCCAGGAGTCTGCCTGCTGAGGCCCGGGGGCAGCAGGACTTGAGAATCGTTGGTGCGGTCCCGAGCCTTTCTGGGACAGGACCTCGCGAATCATGAGGACTTGCGCAGCGGCGGCATTTGGGGTCCCCTTGGGACACCCCTTCCACAGGCTGATGCTCTGGGCAGAGCCTGTGTCCGTCGCCCCTCCCCTGGGTGGAGACACGCGCCCCTGGTCTCATGGCGGGGGGGCTCGCTGGAGCACTGGGGAGCATGTCCCCTGCCCCAAGGGCTCTGAATCCCTCAGGATGTAGGAGCCAGGAGGTCAGGAGACTCTGAAGAGGGTTTGTCCCTCCTGACCGCAGCCCCACCCTCTGGAGGTGGGCTGGGCCAGCCTCCTTTCCCTCAGTTTGGACCAGACCAGTGAGCCCCAGGGAAAAGGCCACCGTCCCCGGATGTTTGCACGCATGTTGGCAGATTCCTGAGAGGGAGTGAAGCGGGTGATGCGTTTATACCACGTGGACTTCAAGTCCCCGTTTGCCCAACACCCGGTTCTGCTGTGTGTCAGCTGTGCGCGGACGGTGACAAGAATTAGGTTTAAGCAATTCAGTTTAGTGTTTGGAGAGAGTGGGTGTCGTCGTCTGAAACTCCAGTGGTGAAAATAGCTCTCTTCCCTTGAGGAAATCACAGTCGCCGTTTTCTAATGTACGCGGGCACTCTCAGGGACCGGTCCAGGCTCTGGGCACCACAGACACGGAGGTTGGGGCTCGTATAAATGGAGGACCAGGGATGCTGCTGGTTGCAGGCGCTGCTGGCCCTGGATGTCCAGTCAAGGTCGCTGGGCTCCTGGAATGGCACGGCCCTGCCTGTGTGCCTGGTGGCGTTCTTGCCCGGCGCAGGCCCAGTCGGGGTGGCAGGTCAGGGGGTTCCTGGTTGGTCTGTCTGGTCAGGAGGCCATCTGTGATCAAGTTGCTATTGCCTGAGGGACAGCACATGGTGATCGGCCCTTGTGGAATGTGTCCCATCCCATGGCCTGGGCCCCAAGGGCCACTGAAGCCACACGGAAGGGAGGCACAGCAGCCCTCTTGCACATGCGATCCTCACGAACCCGCGGCCCTCGCTGCCTCTGGGTGGAGTGCGTCTGGCCGTGACCATCCACTCAGCCTGGGCTGTGCCGGCATCTGCTCTGGCTGCCAGGCAGCAGCGGGGCCACGTCTTGGGAAGAGCTGGCGGCAGCAGGAAGTCCCCAGCGGCCTCTGCGGCAGCCACCACGCACGCATCAGCAGCTGACACGTGTTGTCTTTGCAGGTTTCAGAGTTTCAAGAAAAGCACAGGAGGAGACTGGTAGCCTTCTACGGAGAAAAGGTAACTCCAGTTGAGTGGCAGCGAGGAGGACAGCGGTCGCGCCGCCCGGCGCTTATTTCCTACACACCTGATGGCCTGGACTTGGTGCACGTTCACTCATAAATAGTGTGAGGGCCACTGCCACATAACTCGCGTTCTGACTTGTGGTTTGAGAAGTTGAGGATCCGCGTGTTCCGTCTAAGCTGTCGGTTGGTGCAGAGCGCGTGGTAACTGGGAGTCGCTCAATTGTGTTTAGATGTCTCAGTTGGAAGAGTCCCTCAGGAGGTCAGCGCTGAGGATGGGGCAGCTGCAGAGGTGAGTCCCGGGGTGCGAGGGCGGCCGTGGGCCTGTCGTGACTGCTCGTCTGTCTCAGCCCTGTCGTAGCCAAGGGTGCAGAGGAAAGAGCGCTTCCATTGGCTGGGAACTTCTGTCAAAGCAAAAATGCAGGGAGCTGGAGGGGAGGAAAGGGAGACAAAAAAGAAGAATTTTTAAAAACATGAGTGGTTCCCCTTGGGGGGCCCCCCAGTGATTCCTGGGGTGACGGGAGGGGGCCTGGGAGGAGAGAGAACCCCGCCTGCAGTTCCCCGGAGAGTGCATGCAGCACACCCATCCCCTGGTCCAGGTCCTGTGGCAGCCCTGGGCCCACTGGCCCCCCCGGGGTCAGTATGGCACCACCCGTGTTCAGCCACGTTCTTGGTTTTATGAGACACGGTATGAACGCAATGGACATTCAGAAGTCCCAACTTGGGGGCCACAGGTTAACCTGCGGGGTTGCTGTCTGCCCAGCGGTGACCCCCCTGCCCCAGTGCGTGGACTCCTGCCTCCTTGCTGCATCAGGCAGCTGAGGGCAGCGTGGGCACCCAGGGGCCACCAGCCAGAGTCGGAGCTGGGCGCCTGCCAGTGTGGACTCAGCCTCGTCTGGGGTGAAAAGGCCTCCACCCACCCGCCTTTGTGATGGGGCATGAGCTGCTGGTGCCGCCTGTGAAGGCGTGTTTGGGGTCAGCGAGCTGCGGGCCAGCGCAGCGGCAGAGGAGGCCTCTCCCTTCCCTGAAGGACTGCAGGGAAACAGCGCGGCCGAAACCTCCTGTGGCAGGCGAGGCCTGACCCTGACACGGGGACAAGAGGCGGGATCTGTTCTCCTTGGGGTGCAGTTTGCTTTCTTTCTGTGGAATCATGTCTTTCCTTAATTCTGGAAAATATCCAGCCCTTACCTTTCCCATTCTCCCTCTGTGGCTTTGTCCCCGCCTGGTGTCTGCACCTGGTGACCTGCTCCTTCAGACCCCGGTATCTGCAGCGCCCACTCCGCCCCACCGCGCATGCCTTCTCCCTGCGTCTGTCCGGCTGATCTGTCCCACCCTTCCAGCCCATCCCTGGCCATTTTTGGTGCTGTATTCTCGCTCTGCTTCACAGGCACTTTGTTTCCCATCTGGTGTCTTCAGGGTCCAAGTCTGCCTGTTTCCCTCGGGCTCCAGGTGGAGCGTTCCTGGCGCGGTGGGTTCTGTGCCAGGCCCACCCACTGACTGCTCTGCGTGCACCACGTGGCCTGTGTCTCCCTCTGGGGGGAGCCTGTGCCCCCCATGCAGCACCCTTGCCCCAGACCCCGCCTGCCTGGGTCTGCCTCGCCAAGCACGGCATGGTGTCACCACTGCTGACCCTGTCACAGGGCCTGTCTCGGGGGGGGGGCCTTGGACACTCACCCTCCCCACACGCCCAGCGTGGCACCCAGTTTGTTCCACTGAGTCACTTGGAAGCGGGAGTGAGTGCCCTTCAGGGAGCTGGGCCCCAGCACGGCCAGTCCCCCTGCTGGTTGGTGGGCCGCTCAGCAAGCCTTTATTGAGCGCCTGCTGTGTTCTCAGCACTGTCTTAGGCTCCGGCGAGTCAAAGGGAGCTCCCTCCATTCCTGTGGGATGCAGCCAAGCGTGTGCAGTAACTGAGGCTGTGGAGGGGGCCAGGGGCCAGCGCCGCGGAGAACAGAGGCTGTTTCTGTTTTCTTTACCTTCAGGTTGGAAGGAATTATCTGGAAGTAAACGTTTATGGCTCAATTAATGCCTTTTCTCCATCTATTTAGTGTGAGATTGTCACAACAAACGGCTTTCAGCACAATAAAAAATCCAGTTTCAAGTAAGTAAAGTGATGCCTGGAAAGGGAGGGTTGTGACAAGGTGCAGAGTGGACCCGATTGGCTCCAGCACCAGGTTTCTCGCCACAGCTCCTTCGACAAAGACCAACGGGCCTCTCTTCCTGCCGCCTGACTCATCAGCCTCTGCAAGGTGTGCACCCCCAGCCCCCAACCCCCGAACATCAGCGGGCAGTGTTTCAGACGCAGGGGTACATAGCACAGGCGCCTGCAGCTTGCACCTGGCTCCGCTTCCGTCCCTGTGGCCGCAGGGGTGCGTGGGGGGTGGTCACGTGACCCGGGCTGGGCAGCTGGGTGTCGTCCCCAGGACCCTCCTCTGACACTGGGACAGAGGGACGTGGAGGAAACAGGACCGGGGTGGGGGCGGTTTCTCTTGGGAGGTTGGAGTCGAGCCCACGGGCAGCAGGTGTGATGAGTGCGCCCGAGGCCCCATCAGCCTGGCCGCCCCCGCCCCAAGCTCGTTCAGAAAGTAGGGAGCACGCCGTCTTCCCGCCGCCTTGTGCTCCTGCGGGGCCGCGCGGCCCCATCCCACGCCAGCCTTTGGGCTGATTGATTAGGGCACCGCCGTGGGTCGAGCTCTGCCTGCACGAAACGTGTGGCCGGCCGGCGGGGCGGGCGGAAGTAGTACTGCGGCTTCCGGGAAGCCCGGCCGGAAGCGGAGGGGCCCAGTGACAGCGGCCGGAGGCGGCAGCCAGCCCGGGGGCGGCCACGCGGGGGCCTTCGGGGGCGGCGGCGGGAGGGCAGACAGGAGGGCTCGTTTGGGCCAGGCAGCGGGGGCTTCCGTGTCCTGGGGTGGGTGCGCGGTGGTTTACAGTTCTCGCTGACCGCGTCGGGGCTGTGACCGCCGGGCTCCCCTGGTGCTCAGCAGCTGCGGGAGGGAGAGTCGCCTGCGGGGCCTCGTGTGTTTTTGTTACTTGGTCGTAACCAGGCCCGTGACCAGTGTTTCACTGTGTGTAACAGGGTGGAGTCCATGGAAGTTGACCTCACGCCCTCCCAGAGGAGAAAGGTGAGCGCACCTGCCCTCCGCGTGCGTGGTTCCCACGTGCTTCGCGTGCATGGTTTTCTCGTCACTGATGACCTTCGAGCACGCCAGCTCCACAGACTCTGGGCGGCCAATCTCCAGGCGGCTCCCAGGAGGGACCTGGGAGGGAGGCTGGGGTGCGGCCGTGGGGCCACTGGGCTCTCGGGGCTGGGGCGGGGGTTGGGGGTTGCCCTCCTCCCACCGCTGGCGTCTGAACTCAATCCTGCCTGGAGCCCTCGCGCTGCTGCGGTCACCGAGTACACACGACCTGCACCTGCGAGGTGGACGCCAGCATGTGGGCTGGTTGGCGAGAAGCGGTGCTCGGGTCAGGTGGGCAGCAGAGCCGCTCTGGGCTCCGGTGGGGAGACGCTTCCCACCCACTACCCCTCGTCAGCCGTCTCCCGTCGCCAGAAGGGGGCGTGGGTGCACCTCCGCCCTGCCCCAGACCTCAGCCGCTCATGAGGCAGTCCCCCCCAACCTGGAGCTCACGGGTCCCTGCCAGCTCTTCTTTGGGTCCCTGCCAGCTCTTCTTTGGCCCGGGAGCTGGACCTCGAGCCTCGGCCCATATGTGGCCCCATTCTGGAGTTCAAGTTTCCGGAGGTTAAACGTTCCAGAGATTAAGGCTGACGGCTCAGCGATGGTGTGTACCTGGGCGGCACATTGGAAATTGTGCCTTGGGACCAGAATGCCACAAACTGACTTAAGATTCTAAAGCGAGGTTCTAGACCAACATCTACGCGAGCTTGGGTCGACCCTCGTGGACCCATGTCCCCATCTCAACACTCACTCCTCGCGGTGTGGAGCAAACAGGCACGGCCACGTTCCAGGAAAGCCATCAGTCACAGGCTATGGCTGCCAGAACGGGACGCGCGTTTTCAAGGAAAGCTTGTCCACCCAGTGGCCCACCTCCCGGACACCCCGTCAGCCCTGGGGTGGGTGTGCGCACGCCTCTCTGGTGGGGCTGCCCTGAGACCCCGAGCGGGGCAGTGAGGTGTCTCCTGGAAACCCCAAGACCCCCCAGGAGGTACCACAGACGGCATGGCTGGGCCCACCCTGTGGCCGTGGAACGGAGGGTAGCGCCCACGCTCCCTGAGGTGACCCCGGAAGGAGTCTTGTGGCCTTGGCGAGGGAGGTCCTGGAGGAAGAGAGCAGGATCCTGCCCCCCTCCCACCCCCCTGCACTGGGCCTGGGTCCTAGGAGGGAGGGAGAGGCAGAGCCTGCCACCTGCCCTCGGCCGCGCCTGCGAGCAGAGAGGGACCCGCCGGTGAGGTTCCGCGTAGGGACTTGGACCATGGATGCTCGAGGGCTAGCTCGGCAGGTGCTGGCTCCCCGGAGCGGGTGACCCACGTGTACAGTGAGGGCGTGCTTGAGCCCGTGAACCGTGGGGAGGCGGCGCTGCGGGCAGCAGGCGGGGGCCTCCCGGTCGTCTCCTCCAGGTTGTGGCCTCCAGTGAGGATGTGGCCCCGTGGAACCCTGAGGGGCTGCACACGCGCACGGCCCCACCACGCCTTCCTGGCACGGGGCCTGGGCCTCTCCAGAACGCCAGTTCTCTGGTGGTAGGAGCTCCCCGCGGAGTGAGGTGTGTGGAGGAGGCCGTGACGCAGCGTGTCAGTCACATCCCACAAGCCAGCCCGGTTGCATTACGGGGATTTGGTGGCTGGTGTGCCGGTGGAGGGCAGGGGACCCACCCCAGAATGCAGCCCAAGGTTGGGCCTGTCCCTGGCCCTGCCTGCCCTGGTCGGGTGTGGTCCCGCTCTGCCACCTGGGCCAAACCACCTGGCCGTCCACGCAGAGATGTGCTCGCAGCCGACCCCGGGGTGACCACTGGAATCCTGAGGGCAGGCGAGTACGGCTGCCAACACCCCAGATCCTCGACGGTAGCTCCCAGGCGCGCTCGAGGAAGCGGATCCTGTGGGGGCCTGTCTCAGCACGTCCGCTTCCTGGAGCTGCTGCGCCCACGCCCTCCCCCGGCCTGGGCCGCTGCCAGCGCTCACCTGCGTCACAGCCACCATCCTGGACACTCCACATCTTTAAACTCCTTCTGTTTCACCTGTTAGTGGAGCCTCCCCCAGATAGGTGCTAACCCGACAAGAGCGATTTCATCTCCACTCTTCGATAACTTTTCAGAGTTGGCCTGTGCTGGACACTCGTGGCCTGACATGTAGAACGTGCCAGAGGTGGGAGGAGGGGCAGGGGCCGGTGCACAGTGGGGCCGGGGAGGGTGGCTGAGCTGGAGGGAGGCTCTGAACGCAGCCGAGAAACAGCAGCGGCAGGAAGGGCTGTGAGGTCAGGCCCTGTCACCACGAGCCACGTTGAAGCCACTGTGGCAATGGGATGAGGGCACCCTGAGCAGTGAGCGTCCCCAAGCCAGCCCTGCCGCTCTCGCAGACCCTGGAGAGGCCCTCGCCTTGGGCACGAGCCTGGAGTGGGTGGGCCGGGGAGGGAGGCCAGAGGGAGGGCAAGCTGCTCCGGTGGGGGGGCACCAGCCTGCCAGGCAGTGCGACATTGGAGGGTGGAGGCCGGTCACTCTAAGGTCAGAGTGTTGCCAGGCGTGAGCCGGAGGCAGGGCCGGGGTGGGGACGTTTGCAGAGAGTGCCCTGAAACGAGGCCGCCGCTGAGCTGGCGGGGAGGCTGCTTGACAGGAGCAAAGGACCCTCGTGGGTGCAGGAGCTGGGAGCGTGGGCCCGAGGTCGCAGGTGGGGCAGTGGCCGAGTCTAGGGCCCCAGGAAGGGCCAGGACGGGTTGTGGAGATGAAGAGACAGGCACAGAAGCAGCGCCAGGCCTGGGCTCCTGGCAGCGGCTGTGTGCCCCGCCCCAGGTCCCACCGCACAGTTACAGTGAGGGGGGCGGCTCCGGGGGCAGAGCGGGTGGGCTGGGGCGCTGCCTGGCGGATGCTGCCGCGTGCGTGGCGTGGAGCAGGCCTGGCGCCGGGTACTGCCCCCCAGCCCTAGCCACGCCCATCAGCATCTGGATTTCAAGGTGACAGGACGCTTCCCAAGTGATTTACCCAGGACTTTGAAATTCCTAATGTCAGCCAAGAAGTTGGGTTACGTTTTCTCTTCTGAGACTCTTACAAGCACTCAATGGGTCCTTTGGCCACTCACTGCCGTGGGCCCTGCCCGCTCGGCCATGTTCCCGCACAGAACGCGGTCAGACAGGAGTTTGTTTCTCAGGCAGATGAGACTGAGGAGCTGTGTTCTTAGCAGATGAGGAGATTCTCTCCTCCTGAGCGGCAGCTCTGGAACGTTATCAACTGTTTTTCTCTTACAACCTAGCATGAGGTTGCCACCGGCCTGACAAGAATCTCTCTGCTCAGTCCACCTCGGGATGGACGCATGGGTAAGTGGAGACCCACCGCCTTACCGTGGTCCACACGTGCTGAAGGACTTACCCGGTGGGTGTGGGTCCACGTGGAGGCACGTTTCCCCCAGAACGGGCCCCTCCTGGGTCCATCCAGGGCACCCATGGGGCCCCACCTGACCCGGCACAGGGGAGGCGGGCCCTTGTGGCCCATCTCCTAGGCTTTGAGCAGGAATCCTAGGACCTGCTGTGCTTACTGGTGCTTCCGGAATGGCTGCTGGGTGAGCACCCGGGCCCTTCCCCTGGGGGTCAGCATGAGCCTGCCCGCCTGCCCAAAGCACTAGGCTCTGGCGCACGCCCTATCTCTACCCCAAGTCCCTCCCTCACCAAACTCGGGCCAAGTCCCTGGAAGTTTCCTCGGTGTCATGGAAATGTTTACATTTGAGATAAATGCTTATTCATTCTTAATCGTCAGCTCCTCTGTTTTCCTTCTCGCCATTGCTTCTTGCCTCTCCGTCCTTAGATTCCTTTTTTTTCTTTGCGGAAGTTGAGATTCTGATAGTTGCCTCTGAGGTGTAGGTTTTCTGAACCGCGGCTGCCCAGGGCCTCTTGCTGCCGCCCTTGCACCCGAGCACCTGGCTGGGACTTGATTTGCTTCCGCGCTTTGGCCGCTGCCGCGCCGCTCCCTTCTCTCTTCCCCTCCCCTCCTCTCCCCTTCGTGGACGCTGTGCTCCCAGCCTCAGCTCACAGGCCGCCCGTGGCTCCCGGTCCCCCTTCCCCGCCCGCTCCTGGGATCCCAGGCCATCTGTCACTCCAGGGCCCTTTCCTCTCATGCTTCCCGCCTCCATCCTCCTGTGCAGCTTGAGTGTCCGCCCATCAGGGTTCCCTTGGTTTTGGAGGTGACGTTTCCCCTGGGCGCTGGGGTGTCCTGTGGGCGTCAACGTCCTCTCCGCCCTCATGCCCGGCCCAGTGTCCCCGCCTTGTGCCCCCACCGTCATGCTGCTGTGCGGGTGTGGGTATCAGGTCAACGTCTGCAGGCCGGCCTGTGGGGCAGAGCCCGGCACTGGGAGCATCTTTCCCTCAGGAAACGCGGGTCTGGCAGATATGGAATGTAGTTCCCTGTGCTGTTAGAGTAGGACCTTGTTAATCTATTCTATCAATATCTTGTAACAACTTGAGATGGAAAAGCATCTGAAAAAGAATATACGTATATATATGTATCTGTGTAACTGAATCACAGCTGTGCACTTGAAACTAGCGCAGCGTTTGTAAATCATACTTCAGTTTTTCAAAAAAAAAAATGCAGTTTAAAAGAGGAGCTGAAATAATTACATTGAAAACCATTTAGAAGGCGACACGGGCAGACTAACAGAAAAGAGAATGAGGTGCAGCCAGTAAATAGAACGGCAGGTGCAGGTGCGCGTCAGCCACCCAGTACCCGTGAGCAACTGGCCACACCAGTGAAGAGATGCCCCGCGTGCTCCCCACGAGAGACCTGCTTGAACTACAGCAGCACAGACACGTGCCAAGTGAAAGGACACCGTGCGTGTGGCAGCCAGATGAGGGCTGGGGTGCAGCATGAGCACCAGAGAACCAGACCGGGACGAGGACTGTTGTGGAGACCAAGAGCAGAAGGAACACCCCGTGGTAACAGGGTGTCAGGAAAACAACAGTTACCAGTGTGCATACACCTGACAGCAGAGCAGGTACGCGGAGCAAAAGCTGCCCATGGAGAGAAGGGCCGACCATCCGGTCTGGGGAGCTCGGTGCTCTCCCTTCAGAGGCGGAAAGCTGTGAGGGAAGCAGGAACGAAAAAGAGACGAGACATGTAGGGAACAAGGAGCAAAGTGGACACACTGATGTCAGCCACGGACAGCATCGGGTATGAGTGTGCAGCAGACGCAGAGACGTCAGACTGCTGCACGCTGTCTGCAAGGGACGCATCTCGGAGCCAGAGGCACAAATAGGCTGAGACAAGATGACATACAGGGTGCATCAAGCAAGCCAGCCAGTACAGAGCTGGAGCAGCTGTCTTCACATCACACACACAGGTCGTAAGATAGGAAACGTCTCTAGAGACAGAGGGGCATTTCATGATGATTAAAGGTCCGTTTATCAGGAAGACATAACCGTTAGTGCAAACACGCCACAAAAGAAAGTCCCCAAATGCGTGAGGCCAGAGTTAAAAAGAGAAGTAATTAATTCAACATATGATTTGAGCATTGCAGTAGCCCACTATCAATAGTTGATGGGACAACTAGACAAGTGATCAGAAAGAAGATAAGAGACTGCTTATCTGACAGACGTGATACCACCAGGACAGCAGAGTGTACAGTCTTTCCAAGTGCAAATGGGACATTCTCCAGAAAAGATCACACAGTGGGACATAAAACAGGTCTTGATACTTAGGACTGTTCGCATGGAGTGTATTTTGGGGCCACAATGGAATTAAATTGGAAATCAACAGAAAAAAAATTCTGAGAATAAAAGAAATATTTGGAAATTAAACAATGCAATTATAACTAGCTTATGGACCAAAGAAAAAGCGTCAACAGTGATATCAGAAGGTATCTTGAACTGAGTGGAGGAAAGTGAACCAAACTCATAGGGCGCAGGTGAAGCGGGGCTTAGAGGGACATCTGTAACTCTAAATGCGTATATTAGGAAGGAGATCTAAAGTCAGTCATCCAAGCTTCCACCTCAAGAAGCTACAAGAGAATAGAGTAGAAATCTACAAAATAGGAAACAAAAACAGTAGAGAAAACCAGTGGAACTTAAAGTTTATCCTTTGAAAACATTAGCAAACTCTTGCCTAGACTGACCAAGAAAAAAAGAGAACACAAATTACTGGTATAAGAAATGAAAGAAGGAACATCATTACACATCCTACAGAGAATAAAAGGATTATGAGGAATATCATGAACAACTCTGCCAACAAAGTAGGTGACTTAACGTGCAACGGACAAACTCCTAGAAAATATCAAAACTCCCTCGAGGAAATAGCGAGTCCGGGTAGACGTCTGTCACATAAAGAAGTTGAATTAGTCATTTTAAAATCTTTGCGCAGAGAAAAGCCTGATTCTCACTGGCTTCGTGGGTGAGTTCCTTGAAACATTTAAAGAAGAGCTAATGCCAGTCGTACATAAACTCTTCCAGGTAGTAGGCGAGGATCCAAAACTTCCCAATTCATTCTATGTCAGTGGGATCTTAATAACACAGCCAAGGATAACAGGAAAAAACTGAACAATAATCTTGGTGAATATTGGTGCAGAATTCTTAAAAAATATACGAGGCAATCAAGTCTAGCAACATGTAAAAGGATTTATATACCATCACCAAGTGCGGTTTGTCTCAGGAATTCAAGGTTATTGACATTTGAAGATCAATTAACTGTATTAGTAGAATGAAATACCTAAAAAACAAGATCTTTACAACAGGAAAAGAATTTGACAAAATTCTGCAGCCGTTCGTGGTAGAAACTCTTAGGAGACACGCACTAGAAGGGCACTTCCTCAGTCTGATACAGAGCAGCCAAGACCCTAGAGGTGGAACCTTTTCCCTGGAGACCAGGAACAGGGCAAGGATGCCCACAGCCGCCACGTCTACTTGCCTTGTCCTGGAGGCGCTAGCGGAGCAGAAATTAAGGCGCACAGGTTGGAAAGGAGGAGGTGTAACTATTTTGTAGACAGCTGGTCTTGCTGTAGAATATCCCAAGGGGTCTGTAAGAATACTGTCAAGAATTATAAATGAGCTTGGCAAGGCTACAGGGTGCGAGATCCATACGCAAAACTCCGTTATAATTCTGTATACTAACAACCAACAGTCCAGAACTGAACGTAGCTGATAGATCATAAGTGTCAAGGTTTCCTTCTGGACTTCCTGTTCTGTCAATGAGTATGTTCCATCCTTCCTTTCATAAATGCCACATTGTTAATGATTACTTGTGCTTTACGGTTAAGTTTTGAGATCAGACACTTTGTTCTTAAGTTACCAAAGTAATCTTGGCTCTTCTAAGGGCTTTGCATTTCCATATGAATCTTAAGGTCCACTTGTCACATTCTACCAAACAAACCTGCTGGGGTTTGATAGGAGCTCATCGGTTTGGGGGGAGTCGCTCTCTCAACACTCCTGCGTCTTCCAGTCCATAGACCTGACATGTCTGCCTGTCCACTTACCGGCCCCTGATTGACCTGAGGAATCATCGTTTTCAGTGTATGGGTCTTAGGCGTTATCCATAAACTGGTACCCGAGTAGTGAGTTCTCTTGACAGTGGAATTTTCTTTAATTTCAGATTGGGTACAGTTTACATGGGGCATCGTTTCGTTCCTCGCTTTCGCCTGATTGTGTCTTTGAAGGCAGAGTGTGCCTCTTGTGGACAGTGTGTGGTGGGATGCTGCTTGTAATCTCTGCCTCTGACTGGAGTGTCCAGTCCATTGAGTCAGCATGGTTACTAATAGGTTTGGATTGATGTCTGCCTCTTTGCCATGTGTTTTTGGGATTTTTTGTTTATCTGTGTCTCCTTAACTGCCTTCTTTGGCATTAACTATTTTTAGTGCCCCGTGTCCCCTCAGAGCTGTGACTGCATGCGGAGTCGGGGGTCTCTAGGAGGTCAGCGCCGTCCTGAGGGTGGGACCTAATCCGATAGGATTCGTGTCCTCACGAGAGACGGCACGCGCGGGAAGAGGTCACGTGCGGACACGGACCCAGCAGGAAGGCACCGTCTGCAGTCAGGAAGCGGGATCCACTGGATCACCAGGAGTCAGGTCTGCCGGCGCCTTGATCTTGGACTCCAGCCTCGGGGACTGTGAGAAATAAACGTCTGTTGAAGCCCCAGCCTGCGCTGGTGGCGTGGCAGCCAGAGCGGACTGGGAGACTTGACCTTCCGTTGACATTTAGGCTGTCTCGTTGTTTTCTTGCCTCTGGGCTAGCCTTGCGCCTCTTATCGGCCACCCGACTGGATTCTGGTCAAATGCAGCAGCTTTGCCCGTGCAGTCCGTTTACCCGCTGCTTTGTGATGCTTTGTTTATGTGTAGCCACTTAGGTTACCTAGAACCGCGGTGATAGGCCTGTAATGACGTCCCTCACAGAAGCTCACGTGCCCTAAAGATCAGGAGAGGAGGCAGAAGCACACGCGCCTCTCACGCTTGTCAGGTTTCTGGGCCCACTTCCTTCCTGTGGAACCAAGTGCTTGTCGGTGGGTGTTCCTTTCAGACCCAAGTACCATTTTATTGTGGGGCAGTTTGGCCAGCTGTGAATTTTCCCAGTTTTTGTCACCTTTGAATGATGATGTGTTCATTTTGAGGATAACCTCACTGGGAAGAGAATTCTCAGATGACTGTTCTTAGCACTTTGCCGAGTCGTCCTGCTGCCTCTGGCCCCTCCTTTGTTTCTGGTGAGGGGTTGCCGCCCTCAGCCGTGTCCTCGTGTGTGACAAGTCGCTTTTCCCCTTTACTCTGAAGACTGTCTCTGCCCTTTGCTCACGGTGGCTTTGGAGGACTTTTCGAATTCATCCAGTGTGAGTCCTCTGACCTCGCGCTTCTCTTCGAGGGTGACTGTGGCTGCTCTGCGGGTCTGCGCGAGCTGGCGCCCAGGCGTCTCTCAGGAAGGGCAGCCTCTCTGTGCTCAGACTCTGCTCTGCACGCAGCAAAGCTGTGCCTCCCAGGTCCTGCAGGGTCACCCCCGGCCGCGCTCTTTCCTCCTGCTGTCACCCCCAACGCAAAGGCGCAGGTGCACAGGGGCCCACTCACAGCCCAGGCAAGGAAGCCCCCTTCCCAGGCAGGCGGCAGTGGGCGTCCGGGCACAGATGCTGTTGTCTGTCTTAGACGATGTCCTAAAATGGTCCCGTCTCATGCTTGGTCTTGGGGAGGGGCTTCACGGATTTCAGCTCCATCCAGCTGGAGGCCCCTTCTCGGCAAGCACTGCCTGAGTGAGTTGACGAGCTGCGGGCGCCTCAGCCTTGCCCCGCTGCCGGTCTGTCCCACGAGCTTGTGCACGAGGCCGACCCGCTCCCACGTCTCGGGCCGCCCACCCTTCAGTGCCCAGGTCTCGTCCACAGGACGCAGCCTGTCTACCTGGCAGCACAGGGACACGAGCGTCCCCACATTCTCGACCTGGAAACTTATCCTCTTTAAATGTCAACATGTTTTCCATTTAAATTTTTCAATGGAAATCTTTCCAAATGCATTGAATCACACCGCTTTCCTGAACAGAAGCTCGGCCCTGACTTGGATGTGTCCTGTTGGCCGTGGAGCCTCGTCCGGTCATTGGCTTTCAGTCAGGCTGTAGCACCGGCCCAGGGGGCGGCTCCTCGGTGCTGCCCGGGCCTCCTGCGGCGCCCGGGGTCACTGCCCTCAGGACTGAGACCTGCCGTGGCCCATGGTTCTCAGGCAGGACCTGAAAGACCCCCTACTGAGGGCCTGGCACCCGCTGTTCCGGTGGCCAGAGAGAGTGCTGCCCACATGACCCATGAGTTGTTGACTTCCTGAGGCCTCGGTAGCCTCAGCTGTGTTGACACCCGTTGTCCCCATGAAGTCCTGTAAAGCGTACGTGAGAAACTGCCGCTGCCTGCCGTCGTGGGGCCGAGCGTGTAGTCACTGAGCAGAGGACTGTACCCGGGACCCGTCGGCTGTGTGAGGCCAACAGATCAGGAGCCACCGCCGTGCAGGAGGAAGGTGGACTCACGGTCCCTGGAAGCAGGCGGCACGGCTGCCAGGAGGGGTGAGGCGGAGGCCTGGGCCAGAGCCTGGGCTGCGGTTTTCAAGGGAGGACTGGCAGGGCCGCGGGAGAGGCTGGCAGGCTTGAGGTCAAGACGATTTGAGCCGTCTCTGTGGTCGCAGGTGTGGGGGCCGCCCCGCTTGTCTGAAGTCCAGCCGGGCTGATGAGGGCCGAGTGGGGCAGCGGATGGAGGGGGGCTCAGAGCCGGCTCTGGATTGGCAGCTCTTCACATCAGAGGCACGCTGCGCTCGCTCACAAGCAGACCGGTGCCACCTCTGGGAGTCAGCCCACCCTGGGAGGGGCCGGCCCTCCGGGGTCAGCAAGGCCCCCAGATGCCAGACACTCATAAAGTACAGAAAACAACAAACACGGTGAACGTAGCTGCCGAGATGGTTTGTCCGCCTGGTTCTCAGCTGTTCTCTGGGGCTTCCTGAGGGTCACCTGCAGTGGGCAGTGTCCTCACAGTCCGCACGGCCCAAGACAAAGAGATGAGACCCCCATTGCCCACTTCATGCTGTGCAGCCTTGGGAAAGGCACTCTCCCTCTCTGGTCCAGGTTCTCTGGTTATGAAAGGGGTACCATGAAAGGACACACAGGGAGCCTAACCTAAATGCTGCCTACCCTTCTTTCCCTGGCTTCTTTCTGTTGAAACTCTCCAAAATTTAGATGCAAGGGATTCAGGTATTGAGGAAGAGCAGTGTTTTCATGTCTGCTCCCTGGTGTGACTAAAGCATACCAGGGATCATTTACATCTTTAAAAGAAGCTTCTTATTAGCCCAGAAGCTGTCAACGGGCAGAAGTCGAGCTGTGTAAAACTCCTGTGGTCTGGGTGGAGGTGACACGGCGGTCCTGGCGCCAGGGGTCGCCCGCAGCCCCACGCCCTCCCTCTTGTCCCCGGAGTGGTTGTCAGAGTAACAGGAGCCAAGGCTTAGAGCAGGTGTCCAGACATTTATTGAGCGCCTGCTGCATGCCAGGGGTGGCCCCCAATGGGGTCCGCAGGCAGTGTGGGTGTGGGCGGTGGCGGGAGGTCAGCCCCAGCCGGTCCGGGCATGAGACTGCGTGGTCAAGGATGGCGCACGGGGGTGAGAAGATGGGGAAGAGGGTGGGGTCCGCACCCTCCCGGGGCGGGGGCAGGGCTCCACCTGTGGCAGGGATGGGGAAGCAGCCCGTTCGCCTCTCACCCGCCCCCAGGCAGCGTTGCCCGCCGCCCTCAGCACCTCAGCCCGACGCCGCGTCACCCCAGCGAGCCCCCGGCACTCAGGTAGGTCCCGCTCGCGGCCCCTGGGGGGCCACAGGGTTAGGTGGGGGTGGGAGGGACCCGCTCGTCCCGGCGCCATCTGCGGGCCCCGAGTGAGGCGGTGCCCAGAAGACCACGTCATGTTCTTGAAGCTAAAACGTAACCTAAGCAGGTGCCCTGTCGCGAAAAACTGCGGAAGAGCCATTACAGCTGCAGGACGTTTTACTCCAGGACAGCCCGGGGTCGGCAGGGTTTCCTGAAGGGCAGGTGGCCGCTCTGGCCGGTGCTGCCCCTCTGCCTGGCCAGGTCCCAGCGCCACCATTTGCACAGGAGCAGCCGTGCCCTTCCTGGACGCAGGGCTGCCTCCACGCGGGGTGCTCTCCTCAGCACTGGGCGCTCAGGTGCTGTCTCCAAAGGTGGACCCTTTCTGACCCCTGACCCCTCTCCCAAAGCCTGTCCACGCTTTGCGGCTCGGCACAGTCCAGCCACTGGCCTCCAGACTGCGTGCCCGCCGCCCCTCGACTCACAGAGCCACCCACCTACCTCCCTGACCGCAGGCTGCACCCGTGACCTCTGTGAGGCTGCTGCGCCCCACTCCACGGCAGGAGCCGGCCCCAGCTCCGTGCCCTTTGACTGTAACTTGCCTCTTTCAGCGTAAGCACAGAGGGGCCCTGTGGGAGGGTCCAACGACACAGGTCCTGGGCCCTGGTAACTGGCAGCAGTTCTCGGGGGCCCTGCCACGGTCACCACGGCCCAGAGAAGCCCTCCTGCGGGGCTACCTGCCGTGCACTGCGCGTGAGCTGCTCCCGTTCTACCGCTCCAGGCTGGCCGCGCCACCTTGAAAATGACCTCGTTGCCAGAGGCGCTGGTGATTTTGTCTGTTGAATTTACCATTAGGATCCCAGCCCTGCAGATGCCCTGGGACTGGCCCAGCCAGAGCCCTGCGCCCCAGGCAGCAGGCAGAGCCAGGACAGGGGCGGCGCCCAGGCAGCCCCTCAGCATCTCAGAGCTGCTGCAGAGGCAGCATTTAGGTAAGTGCCGCGGGGAAAGGCGAACGCCGTGTGAGGAGCAGACACAGCTCGGGGCGTCCCCGAGAGCCGTGCTTCTGAGCCCTTGGTAGTGGTCCAGAACCCAGCCGTGCTCACCGGTGCGTTCCCTGGGGCTTGTGACTCTGCCGCTTCCCGCAGGGTCTGCCGGCCTCGGGGGACTCGTGCACGAGCACTGAGCAAGCTCCCGCCCGCCTGGACGTCGGCTCTGCGCCCGCCCGCAGCACGTGCACGTATCCAGTACCGTGATTCTGCGTTTTCCTGATGGAGTGACTCAGTGATACGAGTGAATAAAGTGTTTCTTGGACTCTCTTGGGGCAGCAGTGTATGATGTGTTTGCAACTGGTACCTTAGAACTTCCTTAGGGGCGACCGTCCCCTGTCTCCTCCCTGCTGGGGGCTTCCAGCCTTGGCTCCTGGGTAGGCGAGCGGGGGGTCTGGGCGCTGACCACCGAGGCCTGCGGGTGGCCACGTGGGTCAGACCTGCCCCAGGGCCGGGGGTGCCTGTCACGTGAGGCTCATCTGTCTCCAGACGTGGGCTTCGTGTGTGTGGCTTCTCGCTGCAGGCCGATGCGCCCTCCTCACCCCAGTGTCGCTCTGGAAAAGGCCGGCTGCAAAGACGGTTATAATTATGATCCTTCGTGGTGCGATTACCTGAGACTTGCCCCCAGACTCCCGGCTCCTCTCACCTGGGTCAGGCCCACAGCCTAAGGGCAGGAAGCAGATGCCACCCGCTGCCACTTGGGAAGCCGAGGCTGGACAGGTTGCGCTTTGTAGCTTTGTAGCCGGGCGCAGCAGGAAGGAGCCCTCCTTCCCCAGGGCTCTCGCTGTGCAGCTCTCCCTGCCCTGAGATAGCAAAAGCCGTGGGGCGTCTGGTAAAATCCCTGGCCCTGTTGTGTCCTCTGTGTGCATTCAAGTACGGTGAGCATGACGACCTCAAACGGGGAAATGTAGGTACGTGTGCAGAGCAGAGTTCACCTGTTTGGGCAGCGGGGGATGAGAGGGAGGGGCTGACGGGAGCCGAGAGGGGGCGCGGTGGCACCTAAGAGGAGCCCCACGTGCTGCTGCCCCCCGGCTTCCTGCAGATGGAGCCCTGGCTCTGCGGGTTTGGGGCCTGCTCGTCGGTCCACGGTTCTGAAACCCCACTCTTCCATCACCTCACCTCGCTTTTCAGACAAAAACTTTGATGCCACGTTTTTAGCATTCTCTATTCTTTATCTTTGCTGTTTTCCTCAGTTGAGCTTCGGTCCCATGGGCATCATCGGTCAGCACTTGTGCCACCTGCCCTTTCAGCTCAGCTGACCACTAACGTCAGCACGTGGCTTTCCTTTTTCAATCCTTCTCACCGGAGAGGCAGAATTAAATAAAACATCCAAATAACAGCGCACACCCTGCTGTAGACAAAGGCGACGTCGCAGCCCAGCACCTGCTGTCACTCCAGCTCAGACCCTCTGTCTGTGGACGCACGGACGTCCAGATTCAGCCTGGACGTTGACCGACAAAGGGGAGTGCGAGTGCAGGAATACAGGTGGCGGGGAAGCCCAGGGCCAGCGGCAGGGTGAAAGGTCGTCGTGGGGTGGCACGAGGGGCGGGCCACAGCCAGGGCCTGGGGATGGGGAGACGGGGGCGCCGGGCCTGCACGGGCCATGTCGGGACCTCAGTGTCTTGTCTGCGACGTGGAAATTAAGTGAGACCGTCCCGCCCCACGTGTCACACGAGGACAGTGGCAGGTGTCTCGACACCTGTAGCCTGGGGGAGTCGTGTGACCGCCAGGTTCACCACCCGGGGCCTTTCTGTTCCTGCAGCCGCCGCGCAGATGCATGGGCCCCGTTCTCGGGAAAGGGGGCTGCTGCTGGGGCTGCCGGGCGAGTCTATGAGAGCTTTAGGCCAGAAAGAAGGAAAACCAAAACCACACAGACAGCATGGGCGACGTGGCTACGCCCCGAGGCTCGGTCTGCAGAGTGAGGATCACGGAGCAGGGTGGTGGGGACGTGCCCCCGAGGCGAGGGGTGGGCAGAGCGCGCCTCAGCGTCGGCAGCAGCAAGGCGCCCGCACCGCCCGGTTCAGTCTCGGTACCACGAGCCCTGTGCAGAGTGCGGATGTGAAATCACGAGCCTGACCGCAAGCTCGGGGGCAGCGGGTAGCACCTCGTTTTCCTTTCTATAACGTGTTCTATTCGGAGGTGCCGTTGCTGTCATTTGCATCCTATACCTGGTCCATTTAGATACGGCGCACTCGGTGGGTGCTGACTAAATACTTGACGGTGTATCGGCCACCGTGGTTTTATCTTGTTTCTCATCTTCTTTTAATTACAAGGTGATACCTATTCATTCAGCCCCAGGACGGAGTGAGCGGAAGCGAGTCCCATCAGGCGGACCCCACAGGCACCTGGGCAGGGCGTCTGGCTGCCCTGCCCAGGTAGCACAGCCTCTTCCAGACGCGTCCCATCTCTCAGAACCTGGCTCAGTGGGTGGGGTCGTTGGTTGTGGTTTTAATAAAAAATGGGATCCCGCTACGGGCCCCTGGGGCCGGCTGGGCCGTGAGCTCCTCCCGCGGCTTCTGTGGCGGCCTTTGCGCTTGCCGTCCCGCTCTCTACAGCCGCGTGGCTTCCACAGCGTGACGGTCAGCACCACAGCCACACTGCCCTCAGCACCTGCGATGGGGATGAGGCCGGAGAGGGACATGGAGGCCCCACGGGCAGGAGCGCGGGGCTGAGGCCCCAGCAATTCGTGAGCGTCCTCAAGCCCGTGACCCAGGAAAGCTGCAGGGCGGGAGCATTTGGGGGATGCAGAGGGTCCGAGGACGACAGGTTCCCGGAGTTCTGACGGGGGACTGGGCTGGGGGAGCCGGACTGGGCCCCCCAATTAGGGCCCCCCTCCCTAACAGGAGACGTGGGCCCAGAGGAGGCCCACGAGGCCGGCGGGTGAGGTGGGACACGGTGAGGGCTGCGTGGGGTGAGTCAGGGCAAGGCGAGGGGCAGGTGAGGACGCGCCGCAGGCCGCGGGCACCTGGTGGTCGCTCCTGCAGCAGAGACGCTGGCCGGCTTGGCAGAACGGCCCCTGCACGAAGCAGGAGAGGCCACCCAGGGCAGACACACGGCGCCCCACGGGGACCCCCGGGGACACGCGGAGAGGCACACTTGTCTCCTCGGACCCCCTGTTTTTAGGGGGTGCTTCAATCTGATCTGTTTGTAATTGCATCGCGTATTTCTGTGCTTCTAAAGTCAGACCTACCCAAAGAGAAATCTTCCAAGAGGCCAGCGTCTGTCTGACCCCCCGCCTGCTCCCCACTCCCCTGGACAGAGCTAGTCTTAGGTTCGGGCTCCGTCTTTACCACCTGGAGGAGGCGTTCCTGCCTCTGTTCTCCTTGGGTAAAGACGATTTCACTTCCTGTGCCCGGGGCGTCGCGGGCAGTCAGCGCCCAGACGGGTATTCCCAGCTGCCGCCCTTCCCTCGCCGCTGTCCTCGGGCGTTTTGGGCCCTTCGTGGGGGGAGAGGCCAGTGCCTCGGGCTGTGCAGGAGCCAGACCCTCTCAGTCTGGACATCGCCGTCTCTAAGAGACAAAGCTGAGACCAGCTGGCAGAAAGTTCATTTTCAGCCAGAAGATGTCCGTGGACAAATAGTGTCGAGTTACGTATTAATTTACAGTCGCTGGATGTGTTTTTCAAAGGTGAAAGAAAGGGTTCCAGGCAGCACACTATTTCCCGGCACACAAAGCGAACTGCCACCAGCCAGGGAGCCAGGGGCCAGCCCTCCGTGGCTTCCACCCGCCAGCCCACGGCGAGTTTTATAGAATAATCCAGAAAGGCCTCCAGACAGACAGGAAGCCCCAGGAGGCGCTGAGCTCTGGAAAGAAGCCCCCTGCTGCCCCGGGGGTCCGCCCTCCCAGGGAGCGTCCATCCACCACCAGGGCCCTCCCCAGACGGGCCTTGCCCCAGGGGAGCGGGAGCTGGGGCGGGGCACCTGGGAGCAGAGCCCCCACCCCCAGACACAGGCACACGGCCACATGCATGGAGAGCACCGAGGCCCCTACATGCCCCTCGGTGGGACACGAAGGAGGTTTTGAAGGAGTTTTCTTTTCAGACTAAGAGGAAATTCCTAGAATTCTTCGGTGGTAAATCCAGGCCCCTGCGTGGAGCTTAGGGAGCCGGCGTAGCCAGGATGCACGTGGCGAGAGGAGGCCGGGCGTCCCGTACTCCCTGTTTGTGCCTCCTGGGGACCCCAGACCCCTGGGGGTCTGGCCGTAAAGGAAGGCACCCAGCGGGTCAGGTCCTGTGGCCAGAACGTCCACAGTCCTCGGCGGGAGCTGCCTGATGCCACCCTCGGCCGGGTGACCCACCAGGCTTCAAACTTGGGGCCCCACCCGCCAACTGTGTGAGTCAGTGAGGGAGAGGCCCCGGGAGGGACGTCCACCAGCCCTGAGTCACGGAAACCACACATCACCCTGTAACAGGGATGCAGCCGGCACACAGGCGAGCGCTCTGGACTCCGCCCGCCCGGACACTGGCCGTTCACCCCCGAGTCTGCTCAGGCCCCACGGTCGAGCCTTCACCCTAACTTCCAACTTGGAAGGAATCTCACACAGAAAATTACAAAGTAACATGGATGCCAAGGACAGGCCACCCTCTCCCCAGACTCACCTGTCGTGGGCATCTGTCCACCTGCTTCAGCACTCGGCTGCACACGTACTCTGCACACGCACGCCCAGGGCTGTTTCTCAAGCAGAGCGGTGCTCATTCTGGCTTCGTTTGACGTTTTCTCGTGGCCAGTTGCAGGCGTCCAGACAGAGAACCACTCGCCTGTGCTTCCAGGCACCGAGGGTCGGCGCCCCTGCTGGTGACCAGCACTGTGCGGACACACCTCCACACTCAGCACGGCTCCCTCGGCCTCCTTGGATTTCAGGGACGTGAGGACGGCGCAGTGGAATCCTCTGCAGTGGGGGGTCCCGACGCCCCTGTGCAGACACGCACGGGCTTCAGGAAGGTGAGCGTCGCCAAGCCCCTGCCTGAGTCTGGCAGCCGGGCGGGAAGAGCCTCAGGAGCTGCCGGGGGAGGCGCCCGGTGCCGTGAGACGGGACACGGGTGCCCCATGCTCCCCACGTGGAAGGGCTTTTGCTCTGAAACTGCCAGCCTGTCACAGGGCCATGCTTGGGTAAATACAGCAAAGAAAAGAGTTGCTAGATGAAATTTTTAAAAAAGCACAAAAGCCTGTTTCCTTCTTAGGAGATCCAACAGGTGTACAAGCTCCTGGCCCACTGCCACAGAAGTTTCCAAACGCAAGCTCACGCTGGCCCCTGCACCCCGAGCATTCTCCAGGGACGGCCACCAGTAGCTCAGGGATGAGGACCGCAGCAGCCTCCTTCCCCCCACCACCCCTCCGACTTCAGGAGGCCCTGCCCCCCACGACCCCGTGGTAAGAAGTGGAAAGTCTGAGCGTCCTGAGGGAGACTGGGGGCCCCGGGCTCAGCCAGCTCTCGGGGCCTCGGAAGGAGGAGGCCAGGCAGAGCCGGCCCAGGCGTCGCTGCAGGGTAGCTCCGAGGTGGGAGGCTTTGCAGCCATCATGCAGCCACTGAAATCCTCGAGTGAGGGCCAAACGTATCCACAGGACTAAGCCTCCAAAGCTGATGTCAGGTGGATTTTAAAATGAGAGTGACACTTGTGTTAACGGCACACAGGCCATGGGGGCGGGCGCCGGGGGCACTGCACCTGCCTCAAACAGGATGTGTCACCAAACCTGGACACAGAAGATGTGCAGGGGCACAGAAAGTGGCATTTCAGAATAAGAAACCAGAGGATGCTAAATAAAATACCGAGCGCACGCACATTTTCATCCGCGACAGCCTTGAAAGTTGGTGTGCTGCATATTGTGTGGACACGCCAGTTAAGTTTTAAGGTCTCAGGGCCTGGGGCAGGGGGACGGGGCAGAGCTGCTAGTTGGATAGGTTTGTACTTGGAGTGATGAAAGCGTCATAGAGTTGGCTGAGGTGACAGCTGCACAACGTGTATGTGTTGGGTGCCTCGGAACTCTACACTTTAAAATGGTAAATTTTGTGATATGGAGCGTTTACCACGATAAAAAAAAAAACCTAAGGCACAGTGGAATTCAAGACGCTCGCACGCAGAAACACCATTTTCACAGTTTAAAACATTCCGTGTAACTTGCACCAATGTGGAACGCTGGCTCTGAGCCTGTGCTTTTGAAGTCAGGTCACACGCCTCCTTCCGGTGCCACCATCGTAAGTGGGACAAAAGGCTGCTGGCCAGGTGAGCGATCGAATCCCGGACAAGGGCTGGGGTGGGTCCCTGCCTGGTTTGGAGAGGCCCTGGGAGACCTCAGCTGCTCGGCCACCAAGGCCCCAGGTCCGCACCTCCGTGGCACTAGTGCTACTGAGCCCGCGTGCCACAACTACTGAGCCCACGTGCCACAACTACTGAGCCCGCGTGCCACAACTACTGAGCCCACGTGCCACAACTACTGAGCCCGCGTGCCACAACTACTGAAGCCCACATGCCTCGAGCCTGTGCTCCGCAACAGGAGAAGCCACCGCAGTGAGAAGCGCGCGCGCTGCAAGAGTAGCCCCCGTCGCCACAACTAGAGAAAGCCCGCGCGCAGCAAGGAAGACCCAAAGCAGCCAAAAATAAATAAGATAAATAATTTTTTTTTTTAAAAAGAAAGAAAATCTGTTCTTACACAGCACACATTGCTACCAGGGGAAACGCCCCCCAAGCCCAGTGCCTTCCCCGCCTGCAGTCAAGGGCCAGGCTGGTGGCTACGTGGGCCCAGAGGCAGGAGGACGTGCAGCTCGCGCGTCTTCTAGAAGCGAGGCCCTTTGCCCGTAGCACCAGGGTCCCACAGGAGCTGCCCCAGCGCGTGAGCAC